TTGCTTATGTGCCTGTGCAGCTCTTTTCCAGGAAGGCCCTTGGCTTGGGCTGGTATGCCCCAGCCTCTGGGGTCGGGGCGGAGCCCTGGCTGGGATCTGCTTCCAGCCACGCTGCTCTGGTCCACACCGCTGCTCCCTCAACTAAGGTGGTCTGGTGTGCCTTTATTGCAGAGATTTTCTTCACTTTTCTGGTGGGCTTTAATTTTCATCAAGGGGCCTCAGAGAAGCCCTCTTTCTGTTGTTTGCTTCTACTCTATCTTCTCAAGCTCAGAACAATGTCTTTTATGACCCCTGCAACTCTGCAGTGTGGATCTAGGTAATGGCTCAGCACAGCTGGGGGAGGGGGGGAGTGCTGGCATTCACGTGGCTCACCTCCTCGGCGCTCTGGGGTGATGGTTCAGCAGCCCGAGAGGCTCCTGTTTTGGGTTTTTTTTTGGTAGCGTGGATCGAACTCAGGACCTTGCGCTTGCAAGGCAGGCAGCAGAACCACTGAGCTAAATCCCTGGCCCAGAATTGACTGTTTTATATGAAGTAAGATTGAAGCCAAGTCTTTTTCTATTTGGATATGCATTATCTAAGCAGTTTGTTTGAAAACAAAACTTTCCCCATAGGTCTGCAATGTCAACTTTGACATGTACTGTGTTCATACAAATGAAAGTGAGTTTCTATCTGATTTACACTAATCTTGTTGCTATCCTTTGGAAATACAATAAAGCTTTAAACAGAGTAGCTTTATAATGTGCCTTCCTTGCTATCTACTAGATACTTCAAAGGTATTCTTGGATCTTTGCATTTCTGAATAAATTTCAAAATCAGCTTAATATCCAAAATGAAAATCATAAGAATTGTTATTGGATTACAATGAATCCAAAGATCAGTTAGGGAAGATTGACATATTGAATCTCTTGATTCATTAACATGGCATGTCCTTCCAATTATTTAGATCATGTTTAATTACTCAACACTTTCTGAGTAAAAATCCTTAACAGTGTAACACATTACACAGGTCCAAAATGGTTAGGACCAAGAAGTGTTTCATATTTCAGAGTTCTTCAGGTTTTGGGCTATTTCCATAGACTTTACCAGTTGAGCATCCCTACTCTGAAAATCTGAAATCTAAAATGCTCCCAAACTTTGAGTGTCATATCACAGCTCAAGTTTCAGATTTGGAAAGATTCCCAATTTCAGAACAAGGATATGCTCACTTTGTATATGCAATTTTAAAATTTTTATTATGGAGAATTTTTTAAATACTTGAAAATGAAGAAAATAGAATGAATGGCTAGGTATTCATTAGTCATTATCAATTCATAGCCAATACTGTATCAATTTTCCCCCACTCTCCTACACTTTGAATCAAATTCCAAATTTCATTTTTAATCTGTAAAAGTTAATCTCTAAGAGAAAGCACTCAATTAAAAAATCTATATAGTGCAAAAGGAATTTATCAGACAAATCATCCTCCAAATTATTACAAAATATAGATGACACACAAAGACCTAGCTATTCTCAGTGGCACTGTGCCTGCCTTGCAAACGCAAAGCTCTGAGTTCGATCCCTGGTACCAAAAAAAAAAAAAGGAAGTATCTTAAAAAAAAAAGCAACTGCCTTGCAAAGACCTATTTGAAAGCACTGCAAAATAACCAAAAGCACACAGAAAACAGGAACAATTTATTCATGAAAACCAGCAACTGCAAAGTCCCCAAACACAGCAGCTCCAACAGCATAAAACTAGTCTCACAGGCTGGAGATGATAGAAGACAGAAATCAAGGCCAAAAGAGAATTTGGAAATTTAAAGAGAAAATCCTGAAAGTTTAGAGAAAGATACAAGACATGATAGCAAAATCTGAACAAAAACTGCACAAATCCCTGCTTGACTGCTAAATTACAAGCGCCTATGGGAAACTGAGAGGGACAAGCACAAAGGCAAGCAGAAACCACTGAGGTGTCCTTCTCTAAAAGAGGTAACTGCACTGGGTAAGACTGGTAAATTTACTGCTTTTTTGATTAAGTGAATTCCTTAATCTGTATATATATAGGCTGAGTATCCCTAGTCAGAAATGAGTTTGGGATTTGGATTGGCAGACTTTGGAATATTTGCATTTACATGAGATGTGCTGAGGATGGGACCCAACTCTTAAGCAAAATGTTTATTTTATGCTTTGTGTATACTTTTTGGGGGGAAGGGATGCTGGGGACTGATCACAGGGCCTCATATGAGCTAAGCACGTAATAAACCACTCAGCTAGCCCCTAGTCCCTCATATTCACTTTCTATAGGTAATTTTATGTATTTTTTCATAATTTTGTGCATGAAACAAAGTTTCATGGTATGAAATTTTCTAGTCATGGAGTTTTGTCAGTACTCAAAATGGTTCAGATTTTCAGATTACGGATGCTCAACCTAAATGGATTAAGTAGCTGAGCGTGGTGGTGCATACCTGTAATTACAGCACTTGGAAAGCTGAGCCAGGAGGATTGCCATGAGTTCAAGGCCAACCTAGGCTACATAGTGAGTTCAAGGCCAGCCTGTACCACATAGCAACACCCTGTCTTAAAAAACAACAACAAAAAACCAAAATAAATGGATTAAGTATTCTGAATCTAAACACATTTTCAAATTGGGATGGCACAAAACTTAAGTCTTCTAGTTTGAGGTATCATAAGACAAATCTTGGGCCTGGTAAAACTCTTAAAAGGTTTTTATGAAAAACACTTAAGTATTAACTACTTAAAGTCTTGACTGATCACTAACTTATGCAGGTATAGGAAGCCAACTCAAAAAGCAGCTGCTAGAAGCTTTTAAAACAAATCTGAACAGGAATCAACTGCTTCACAAATGAAAGATAATAGTTTGTACTGGAATCCAAGCAAGTTAAAAACTTGCTGGCCAAGACCATCATCATCATCTTCAGAAGAATACAACTGAATCCAGAGTTGCTACAATGTAATTTTCAAGTCTAACTTTCAACCACTACTTTAAAGACATGCAAAGAAGGGGCAGGGATTTAGCTCAGTGGTGCCACTGCCTGCCTCAAAAGTGTAAGGTCCTGAGTTCCATCCCCATACCAAAAAAAAAAAGACATACAAAGAAGATAAAAAAAGAGGAACTATACCACAGAGAAATGCAAACTAGGTTTCAAGTGGGCCTAGACATCAATTGTCCCAAAGATTTTAGCAATGTTATTGCAAGTATGTTCAAAGAATTAAAACAAGCAAATAACAGACTGGAGACAGCAAAACAATGAATCAGTGAAGCTGGGCATGATGGTACATAACCATAATCCCAGGAGGCTGAGGTAGGATGATCATAAGTTTGAGCTCAGACTGGGCAATTCAGCAACTTAGAAAGACCCTGACTTGGGCTGGGGATTTAGCTCAGTGGTTCTGCTGCTTGCCCCACAAGTGCAAGGTCCAGAGTTCAATCCCCGGTACCAAAAAAAAAAAAAAAAA